GATACCCGTGTCCTCACCATTACTCAGGGGCACAAATCCAGTTTGGGGGGCGTCTCCCCCCTCCCACGGTAAGAACTTTTTGTATTTTTGATCTCTAAAAGGGTGATTTTCGCGCATTTTAATTGCAAGTATCAACTATTGTTTCTATCGTGTTTACATGCCATAAACTAGCTCCCAGCGGGCAAAAGACGTTGAAACAACGTTGAAACGACGTTGAAAAATGGATTTGCAATTTTATTCAACGTAACTATCTAAATATTATATTTTATCAACAGGTTACTAAGGGGAAGTGATGTTACTCCGCACGCACCTATACGGTCGCGGTTCCTATATTCAGTTTAGGCTATTATATATATATATCTTGATATATATCAAACTAGAGACTTTTTTTATACTTTCTACTTTTTTTCACTTAGTGTAGTGGAGACAAGCAGAAAATAATAATATAATAGAAGAGGCTTATAATTATGCAGAACCACATGCATGTTCAAAAACCTGGGGAGGACATTTGATAATGTGTCCCCCACCCTTCAAAAAAAGGGGGGGCGTGTCCCCCGTTTCCCCGTGGCATTTGCGCCCATGACAGTATGGACTGAAGAACACTGCATATATAGCTGGCTATTAGAGAAAGAGGGTTGGAAGACTGAGTAAAGGTGGCAGTGAAGAAAGCTGAGGGCGGTAAAAACGAATGAGGATGAGCGAGGGACAGAGGGGGGAGGGCAAGGGAAGGACAGGAGGGAATGAATTAGTACTTTTTTGTCCCACAGGCTATGGCGCTCTCCCAATCATAAACACAGGTCTACTGATAACAATTTATTTCATAAATCTATGCTGAGATATCCTCTAACCATTTTAAATGCATATCCATCACAAAATATAACTCCTCTGGTGAGATATTGCGCATGCGCTAACACACTAACGTAGCCAAATTGTGTACTGACTGGTATATGCAGCGAGCACTTTACATGCGAGGTCTTCTTCCTATTTCTCAAGAGCGGTATACTTGAGAAATATTATCATATAAATCTATGCTAGAATACCTCCTCCCTATTCTAAATGCATAATTTTTGCAAAATATTATTCTTCTCGGGAGATATTGCGCATGCGCGAGCACCGTTTCAGACGTGCAGTATAGACTGAAGAACACTGCATAATATAGCCTGCTAAGAGAGAAAGAGGGTTGGAAGACTGAGGAAAGGCGGCAGGAAAAAAAAGTGAGGGCGGTAAAAAAATGAGGCTGAGCGAGAGACAGAGGATGAGGCAAGGGAAGGACAGGAGGGGATGAATTAGTAGTTTTGCTTCCCACAGGCTATGGCGCTCTCCCAATCATAGACACAGGTCTACTGATAACAATTTAATTCATATATCTATGCTAAGATATTCCCTAACGATTTTAAATGCATATCCATTACTAAATATAACTCCTCTGATGAGACATTGCGCATGCGCTAACACACTAACGTAGCCAAATTGTGTACTGACTGGTATATGCAGCGGGCACTTTACATGCGAGGTCTTCTTCCCGTTTCTCAAGAAAGGTATACTGATAAAATATTATTATATAAATCTATGCTAGAATACCTCCTCCCTATTCTAAATAGATAATCTTTGCAAAATATTATTTATCTCGGAAGATATTGCGCATGCGCGAACACCGTTTCAGGCGTGCAGTATGGACTGAAGAACACTTCATAATATAGCTTGCTATTAGAGAAAGAGGGTTGGGAGACTAAGGAAAGGCGACAAGGAAGAAAGCTGAAGGCGGTATTAAAGAATGAGGCTGAGCGAGGGTCAGAGGGGGAGGGCAAGGGAAGGACAGGAGGGGATGAATTAGTACTTTTTTGTCCCACAGGCTAAGTTGCTCTCCCAATCATAAACACAGGTCTACTGATAACAATTTATTTTATAAATCTATGCTAGAATACCTCCTCCCTATTCTAAATAGATAATCTTTGCAAAATATTCTTCTTCTCGGGAGATATTGCGCATGCGCGAACACCGTTTTAGGCGTGTAGTATGGACTGAAGAACACTTTATAATATAGCTTGCTATGAGAGAAAGAGGGTTGGGAGACTGAAGAAAGGCGACAGGGAAAAAAGCTGAGGGCGGTATAAAAGAATGAGGCTGAGCGAAAGACAGAGGGGGAGGGCAAGGGAAGGACAGGAGGGGATGAATTAGTACTTTTTTGTCCCACAGGCTAGGGCGCTTTCCGAATCATAAACACAGGTCTATTGATAACAATTTATTTCATAAATCTATGCTGAGATATTCCCTAACCATTTTAAATGCATATCCATCACGAAATATAATTCCTCTGGTGAGATATTGCGCATGCGCTAACACACTAACGTAGCCAAATTGTGTACTGACTGGCACCGGGCACCGGGCACCGGGCACCGGGCACCTTACATGTGAGGTCTTCTTCCAATTTCTCAAGAGCGGTATACTTGAAAAATATTATCATATAAATCTATGCTAGAATACCTTCTTCCTATTCTAAATGCATAATTTTTGCAAAATATTATTCTTCTCGGGAGATATTGCGCATGCGCGAACACCGTTTCAGGCGTGCAGTATAGACTGAAGAACACTTCATAATATAGCTTGCTATGAGAGAAAGAGGGTTGGGAGACTGAAGAA